TAGTTGGCTAAAATTTATAGCCAGCTTAGAAAACCATGGGCCCATTCCAGACTCACTGCTTCAGAAGTTGCAGGAAAAGAGTTCTGACACTATTGTGGCTCACAGAAAACCTGACAACTTCATAAGATTTTAGAAAGAACATCTACTTCACTCAGCACACTCTTACTTGCTAAACTGTTGGTCAAAAGTTGGTCTCACTCTCTCAGATCTCTGACTGGTTCTTTCTGATCTTCACCACACTCTACAGTACACAAATTGAGACATGTATTAACTCACCATTTTATTCCTTCAAACTCATGAATTTTTCCGCGTACATACCTGGTTTACTGCTAGCAGAGGTGGAGGAAGGTCTAGCAGAGTCTCCAGAGCTGGAAGTGGTGGAGCCTGCAGACACTCCTGTGGTCCCTAGAAACAAGCATCAGTGCTTAGGTGGGGGATGTGTGTCATTCCTGCTCTCCATGTGAGTATTTGGGTGTTTCCCCCCAAAAAATGAAACAAGTGATCCCTTCACCTTTCCTTAGACCTGCTATATAATCCCAGTTAGTGCCCAATATTTTAGACCTGCAGCTGCTACAGAAGAACACAGATGGGGAGCTTCTCATATATCGTATCCAATACCTCACACCTCACCTGAAACAATGGTTCCAGTGGCTGCTCCTCCAGGGGTAGCTCCCGATGATGCCGCAGGTGTGCCTGATTATTTATTGGGGGAAAATATCAGCTTGAGAAAAATCAAAAAATGTCCTTCTTTTTAGGAACCGGAATGGATGTATCTACATTGTGAATTTCACAGATAGCTTAATTTCTCTCTCCAGGTAAATAAGGGAACTAATCTAGCTCTGATAACATAGGAACTTTATTAAAATATTAATTATTAATAAAATGTAACAATCATATAGACAATTTATGATTTATGTCTAAGTCCTTGTGTCTTGTAATTATAATTATATTATTATCTGGTTTGCAAATTTCCCTCTTCTTCATTCCTGTGCTGCTTAACCTTTGCAAATGGATTCTTCCCAAACTTTTCCTAGTTGCCACAAAGTTTCTAACACCAGAGTAGTTAAATAACAAGTATCTAGCATTCCTGATCCCCTGCATACTTGGCATCATATAAATAACAATGGTCATATTCGCACGTACTATGACTAAATTTGAGCACAGGGCTCTCATGTCTACTGCCTGGATTTCATGCTGCTTAAGCTCCATCAGTACCTGTCCTTCCAGGTGTGTTTTCACCAGCAGAGACAGTGGTGGCTGTGTCAGTTGCTCCTCTTGTTGCTAATGGGAGAAAAAATAGTGTTTAGTGTACAGAGAGGAAGAAAGAAAAACACATGTCAGTGTATCCCGTGGTTTTATTCTAGTCATCAGTTCCTTCCATATTCTCCATTATTTCATTCCTCATTCGCATTTTCATACTCAGGGATCTTGACAAAATTGCATTAGACCTCACCACAGTCCCTAAGGAGGCTCTGTCTTACTTGCTGGACTTCCAGTGCTGGTGGCCCCAGTGCCTGAAGGTGCAGGTGTACTTGCACTGCCTGCTCCTGAGGTTGATCTCAAGGACTCTCCTGTTGTACCTGATAAACACAGTAGCAG